TGAACATAGTAGGGTGGTGATGTTGGTGATGGTGGTGGGTGGAGGTGGGTAGAGGTGGGTGGTGGTGGGCGAGTGTTGGCATAGGTGACGGTGGGCTGATGTAGGAAGGAGGGTGTTGATGTGTGTTGGTTCCTTTAGACCAGAGGTGGTAGTGGGTGAGTAGGTTAGTGGCGATGGTGGCGGTACTGGTGCGTGGCAGCAGCAGGAGAGAGCAGTCTTGGTGGTAGTTGTGGTAGTCCTGCCAGTGGTAGCGAGGCGGGACAGGCGTAGTGGGTGGCCAATCCACCAGTCCTGCCAGTGGTAGCGAGGCGGGACAGGCGTAGTGGGTGGCCAATCCACCAATACATCTCAGCCTCAAGCTTTGCCGAAACCTCAGCGCGACACTTTTTATTTTCTATTGGCTGGCGCCGCCAGCCATTTTGGTCCGGTAACACCGAGCCTCAAAAAGTTTTCGGACTGGATCGATTTTGATTCTCAATCTTGCCTGGGCGATGTACTGGCGGTTTAAGGAGGGATAGTCGTACTGGTTGGTGGAGCTGGTGGGAGGGTGGGTGGTGCCGGGGTGTCACAGTGGTGATTGTGAATGGGTGTAGGAGTAAGTAAGGTTAGGCATGGCTAGTGCACGTTGCGGTGGTTGGTCAGGTTGATGGTAGTGGTGTGGGGGTTGGATGAGATGATGGGGTTGATGGTGAGATGGGTTTGGCTGTCCGTGGCAGTGACCCTCGGTGAGTGGGTTCGTCATCAGGAGGGTGGTGATTGTGAATGGGTGTAGGAGAAAGCGAGGTTAGGCATGGCTGGTGCACGTTGCGATGGTTCATCAGGTTGATGGTAGTGGTGTACTACAGCCTAGCAAATACCTAGACCCCTTCCCTACTGGCGAAGTAGCCAGTGCTTTCCTGTTACCAGGTCTCTTTCGAGTTAGGCAGGTACTACGGGTCCACTGACTTCAAGACCCCGTATTGGCTATACATCCTCCTTGTATTTATGCAGGATACGTTGCCAGTATTATTGGTTTTTGTTTATGTGTATTCGGAACTCAACAAAAAAAACACACTGGGCGTGAAATCAATGAAAGTGGGAAGCTGAAAGATCACTGTGGAAAAAGAAAGGCAGTGATCTTACGTTTTGTGCTTCGCACCAAAGAAAGTCGTAACAAGGTAGCCGTAGGGGAACCTGCGGCTGGATTGACTCCTTTCCAATATACATACCCAGATTTGATTTAATGTCGATCTAATCAGACTAGTTACCAAAGGCGCGAAGCACAATTCCGAGTATCCGGGTACTGCAAGATGGGGACCACCGCCTGTCGTGAACGGGGGTGAGAGGGACCCATCTTGAGCCCACACAATAAATCCAAGAACTCCAAATACTTGTCATAAAAAGTTCAAATTGACAGCAAGTAACATTAACTCAATTGACATTAACATAATAAGGATATGTATGATTCTCCTGTTAACAAAGAAAATCATACGTAAAACACAGGCCGCGTTGGCGGAGATTTCACAACGGCCTGTGGGGTAATGGAAGTCTCCAAAGTTGACTTGCGTTATATTTGATGATTATTAAAACAAACACTCTCAAAAAAATAAAAATAAAATTTCGCGTTACTTCATGGTGAATATAGTCTGCTAGAATTTCCTCTATTCCTACATGCATATGCCAAAAAAGTGGGATATTTAACAAGATCAAAGTGGAAACATTTGCTAAAAGTATAGTTGGAATTAAAAAAGCATCAGTAATCCATTGAAGAAGCCAATGTGCCAATCTTTCTCTATTAGCTTTCATTCGTTTACACCTTTTTTTACGACAAAGAGAATCTCAAGATATTCAATGTAACTAGACAAGCTGCAAAAAAGAACGTAATAAGTGAGACCCGTGACATTGTATTCAAGTCTATATACAATACAAATACAATACATACTCCAATTGGCAACCTCTGTAAGTAATTTAGTACAACATGGGAAATTTGGGCCCTAAAGGGCCTTTGTATTTGACCGGCCGCCGACCAAAAAAAAGAAGATAGCCATGTTTGACAATGATTTTTTAGCCATCTTTCCAGAAATCTTTCTTATAAATGCCACTATCTTATTACTTATCTATGGAGT